TAAAGTCTTTGGGTGGATATATATTTTCGTTTATCCTCTTTGAACACCTAGAGGTGGATATTGTTGAGTTATAGAATAAATGTATGCTTAACTTTGTAAGAAACTGCCCAGTTGTTTTCCGGAGTGGTTGTACCATTTTACATTCCTGCCAGCAATGTTTGAAAGTTCCAGTTGCTCCACATACTTTTTATGGTCAGTCTTTAACCATTCTAGTGGTGTATAATGATATCTCACAGTGGCTATAAATTTTTATTTCCGTAATGACTAATGATTTTGAGTATTTTTTCATGTGCTTATTGGCCTATAGGGAGTTCATCTTTGTAATACTGATACAGTAATACCATCTAATCTACAGCTGATACTCAGGTTTTTCAGCTGTGCCAATAATGTCCTTTATAAACTTTTCCTTGCCCCATATCCGATTCAGGATCACACATTGCTGTTTAGTTGTCATGTTTCTTTGGTTTCTTTTAAGATTTTTATTTATTTATTGAGAGGTAGAGAATGGTAGAGAGAGAGCATGAGAGGGAAGAAGGTCAGAGGGAGAAGCAGACTCCCTGCTGAGCAGGGAGCCCAATGCGGGTCTCGATCCCGGGACTACAGGATCATGACCTGAGCCGAAGGCAGTCGCTCAACCAACTGAGCCACCCAGGCACCCTCTTTGGTTTCTTTTAATCTGCAACAGAAATCTCAGTTTTCTCTGTCTTTATGGACTTTGACTTAAACACCCACAAAAACTATAAGCCTATTATTTTGTAGAATGCCTCTTAGTTTCGGTTTATCTGATACTTCTTTGTGATTGGATTCAGGCTATGCGTTTGGGGGAAGAATATCACAAAAATGCTGTTATATCTTTATCAGAGGCATCATATTAAGAAGCACGCTGTGTAAATATTGGTGGTGACTTTATATGTTGCCCAAGAAATTTCTGCCTATCCTGATCTTGTGAAGAATTTTCTTTTCTTCTAGAATTTTCAAAGTTTTGTGTTTAGGTTTAGATTTATGATTTATTTCAAAATAATTTTTGAATGTGTTGTGAGATAGGGATTGAGGTTTTTTTCCCCCAACTTTTCCCCTTGTTAACTTTCTGGTTTTTCTGTTTTCTATTTTTTTGATTCTGCTCTTTATTATTCTATTTTCTTTGAAATTTAATTTGCTTTTCTTTTTCTAGCTTAAGGTAAAAACTTAGATCAATGATTTAGACCTTTTTTTTTTCATTTAAGGGCTTAAAGCTATATATTTTCCTCTATTGCTCTTATGCAGCCCACAAATTTTGATATTTAATATTTACTATCACTTTGTTGAAAATATTTTCTAATTTCCTGTGTAATTTCTTTTTTGACTCCTGGGCTATTAGAACTATTGGGACTTTTAGGATGCCTGGCTGGCTCAGTCAGAAGAGCATGCAACTCTTGATCTCACAGTTGTGAGTTAGGTGCCACATTGGTTGTAGAGATTACTTAAAAAATAAAAATCTTTAAAAAAAAAAAGAAATATTGGGACTTTTATAGATATCCACTGCTGTTGGCTTCTGGTTGTGTGTATGTATGTGTGAGTGATCAACAAACATACCTTTCAGATTTTAATATTTTGTGTTCTATGTGTATATGAAAAGAAAAAATATTTTGCTGTTGTTGGCTGTAGTGTTCTTTAGATATCAATCAAGTCCAAGTGGTTAATAGTATAGTTTATGTCTTCTCTATCCTCACTGATTTTTTTTCTACTTGTTCTGTCAGTTATGAAGAGAAGAATGTTGAAATTGCCATCTATAAATGTAGACTTAACTGTTCCTGTTTCAACTTCAGTCAAGTTTTGCTTCATATATTTTGAAGCTTTGTTCTTATTTATGAATATGACTTCCTATATTGATGTTGTCATCATTATGAAGTCTCCCTTTTTATTTTTTGTAATATTCCTTTTCTTGAAATCCATTTTATCTAACACTAATGTTGTCACTACAACTTTCTTTTTAATTTTATTTTTTTTAAAGATTTTATTTATTTATTTGAGACACAGAGAGAGAGGGCACAAGCGGGGAGGAGGATCAGAGGGAGAGGGAGAAGCAGAATTCCCACTGAGCAGAGAGCCTGATGTGGGGCTCGATCCCGGGACCAGGACCCTGGAATCATGACCTGAGCCAAAGGCAGATGCTTAACCCACTGAGTCACCCAGGGGCCCCTGTCACTGCAACTTTCTTAAGCTCACTGATACATGATATTTTCCCCCTACTTTTTATTTTGAGTTTATCCGTATCTTCATATTTATAGTATATCTGTTATAAGCAACATTTTTGATAGGGTTGAATTTAAATATTTTATTTTGTAATTTATTTTCTATTTACCCCCAAATTTTTTTGTCCCTTTGTTCTTCCTTTCATGTTCTTTTGGGCTAATCAAAAAAAATTTTTTTTTTACTGTTTCATTTTATTCTTCTGTTCACTTTTTATCTATACCTTTTCTGCATTATTTTTTAATGTGTGACTTGGGGTTACAATAATAACCCTTAATCTAGTTGACTTAGAGTTTAGATTGTACCATTTTACATAAAATATAGGTACCTAGAAAAAAAAGATGTAGGTACCTAGCAGCAGTAGAATTCCATTTACCACTTACTGTCATTTGTGCTGTTGTTGTTACACATACCACATCTGCATGTTTCATTTACCTATGATTTATCCTGCTTTGTGTTTCTTTGTGTTCACCCTGTTTTGTGTTTGCTCTGCTTCTTGGGTCTGTGAGTTACATTTTTCAACAAATTTGGGGAAAATTTTGGCCTTTATTCAAGTGTTTTTTTTCTACCCTGTCTTTTCTATCCTCTTCTTATAGACTGTAATTACCCGTATGTTAGTCTGTTTGACATTATTGCACAGGTAGGTTACTAAGGCTTTATCTTTTTTTTCTCTTTTTTTCTTCAGATTGTATAATTTCTATTTCTCTGTGATTCATGTTCATTGATTCTTACTTCTGCCATCCCTAATCTGCTGTTAATGTCCATCTTGTGAATATTTTATTTCACATATGTGCTTTGGGTTCTAGAATGTTCATTTTTATAGTTTACATTTTTCTGTTTTCCCTTCTTTGATTTCATTATAACTGTATTTTCCTTTAAATTCTTGAATATATTTAGAAGAGCTACTTTAAAGTTCTTGCCTGCTGACCAGCATCTAGACCTTGATTGATTTCTGTTCACTTCCTTTTCTCTTGACCATGGGTCATATTTTCCTGTTTCTTCTAATGTTTATTAATCCTTTTTTAAAATTTTATTTATTCATTTGAGAGAGAGAGAGCTCAAGCACACGAACAGGGGTGGGGGGGAGAGGGAGAGGGAGAGGGAGAAGCAGACTCCCTCCCTAAGCAGGGAGCCCGCTGTGGGGCTCAATCCTAGGTCTTGGAGATTATGACTTGAGCTGAAGGCAGACGCTTAACTATCTGAGCCACCCAGGTGCCCCTGTTTATTAATCTTTTAATTGTATATTGGATATTTTGGGGAACACAATGCAAAGGCAAAAGGTTCTTTTATCTTTTTCCAGAGGTTATTGATTTTTTTGCTTTGCCAGGCTGTTAAAGTTGGTTAGACTCTGACTATAGACTCTGTCATCTTTGTAGTGGATAGTAACTGAAATCTCGGCTCAGGTCTTTTAAGTCTTTCATCTGTTGCTTTTTTGCTGGGCCCACAGAGTCTTCTCCATGCATGCACAAATAAGAGTTAGCCAAGGATTTGGGCAAAATTATGCAGACTTTTGTGGTTCCCTCCTTTATAGCATCTACTTTCTCACTTTCCAGGCTCTCTGACATACCTAAATACTGTCTTCTGATTTCTCAAACCAGTAAGTCTACAGTTTTCTGCTTGATTTCCAGCCACCTCTGTCTGCCAAGCACGCTAACTGGACAGTGCCCTTTGGGAAAAAGCCATATATGGGCACATTTCACCTGGTGCGGTTCCTTTCTTTTTTGGTTATCCATAGGTAGATAACAAACCACCCAGATGTAGTGGCTTTAAACAGAAACACTTATTATTTTTATTATTATCTCTCATGGTTCTTGAGTTTGACTAGACTCAGCTGTGTGGTTCTTGCTTGGGTATTCTACCATTGTAATTAAAAGGGGGCTGAGGTCATCTTGAAGTCTTCCTCATTCTCATGGGGCTGATGTTGATTCTGGCTGTTGGAGGGGACTCAGTTGGACTGTCGGGTAGCCACACTTGTCTTTCAAATTTTGCATTCTGTTGAATTTCTGCCTGCTTTTGGTCATTCTGTAGTACCTTCAAATAGTTGTTTTTCATATAGAATTTATGTTATCTGATAGTCCAGTACAGACTACTCCATCATTACCAGTAATGGAACTCCCACTCCTTTTCTTTCCTCCATAGCACTCATCACACTTGGCATTTAATATAATTTATTAACTTATTTATTTGGTTTATTTTGTGTCTCCTTCTACCAAAATGCAGGCTCCATTAGAGTTTTGTCTCTTTAGTAACTGGTGGGAACAATAGTAAATGCCCCACAAATATTTGTTGAATATTTCAACTCTTCAAAATAGCTAGAAGTAAATAAAATCATCTTGATGATCAAAGAGGGACTATAATAGATCCTTGTTCTTTCAACACTGTTGTACTGGTAGACTAGCATATCTGAGGTTTCCATATCTCCTTGGCTTAAGAGCAGGTTATAGAGATTCTGACATTTCATTTTCATCATGACTGCCATGTGAGTCAATTTAGCAGGTGAGAGCTGGTTACGGATCAAATGCAATTAGCATGTGGAAGTACTCTATGAAGTATAAAGTGCTATGAGATTATAAAGCATTTCAGATAATTCCATGCAGTTGCATCTCTTAGTCTGGTCTTTTCAGATTTCATTTCGAAAGTGTTTTTGAGTTGGTATATTTTTAAGCAATGAATATTTTTCCCTACCAGAACAATAATAAAAGTCATAGTGTGTTTATAATAAAGTCCTTGCTAAGTTCTTATTAATATTTTATCTGGCTTTTCATTTTTAGGAACTCGAGAGATTTCAGAACTTTGTAAAATGCTGTCCTCCTTTTGATATTGTCATCGATGGGCTCAATGTTGCCAAAACATTTCCTAAAGCTCGTGAATCTCAAGTTGTAAGTACAAGTTTTATATTGTTATTCTAAATCTCTAGAAATATTTATTGTACTTATTTGTGATCTTTCTTGGGTCTCTAATTCCCCATTTTTCCTTCCTCTAAAAATAAGCTCCTAAAGGTGTCATAGTAACTAACTACTTATCTAAGAGTCACTGTTTTCTTCTCTGGCAAGTAAGTGGCTCTTCTAGGCTGGCCAAGAGTGATAAAAAAGTCCATGTAATAGGGGCGCATGGATGGCTCAGTTGGTTAAGCGTCTGACTATTTCAGCTCAGGTCTTGATCTCAGGGTCATGAGTTCAAGTTCTGTGTTTTTTTTTTTTAAGATTTTATTTATTTATTTGAGAGAGAGAGAATGAGAGATAGAGAGCACCAGAGGGAAGAGGGTCAGAGGGAGAAGCAGACTCCCCGCTGAGCAGGGAGCCCGATGCGGGACTCAATCCCGGGACTCCAGGATCATGACCTGAGCCGAAGGCAGTCACTTAACCAACTGAGCCACCCAGGCGCCCAGTGTGGAGCCTTCTTAAAAAAAAAAGTCCACGTAATAAAGGGCCATTTCAGGCCTTTTTCTTATATAATTTTTAGATAACCTTCTTCTATATCTCTACTCTTTCTTTGGGTACTCTGTCATTTCCCTGTGAGTCACATTCCTCTGCTTGAAATTTATCAACATAAACTCTCAAGAGATGTTAATATATTTGTTTTTTCCAAACATAGTATGCTCATAAATGAATCTAAGCAGTTCTTTTTTTTATAAGGTAATCATTTGTTCTATCAGTTTATAAATGTCTAGTAGTTTCTAATAGGAATATCATGAATTTTCATAGCAGTAGTGAGCAATTATTTTAATCCCCTTTTATAGATTAGAATATTAGAAAAGTGAAGTGAATTTTATAGAGCAAATCCTTAGAAAGCAGTCATAACATCAAAATTCAATTGTGGTGAGCTCCTGGGTTTCAAGCTTATGGTCCTTTTTTTTTGTTTTTTGAGATTATTTATTTGAGACAGAGAGAGCAGGGGGAGGGGCAGAGGGAGAGAGTCTCCAGCAGACTCCCCACTGAGCACAGAGCCCGACGTGGGGCTCGATCCCACAACCCTGAGATCATGACCTGAGCTAAAATCAAGGTTCGGATGCTTAACTGACTGAGCCACCCAGGCACCCCCAAGTTTATGGTTCTTATCGCTGGCAATTTTTGGCCATTCATCTGTAGTTAATCTGTGTTATTTCTTAAAAATTGCTACCAACTTAAAAGCTGTTTCTCAGAGATGCTACTAGTCCAGTTTGACCATTTTTACTCAGAAAAGCTTACAAGTACACGAAGCACAAGGTTGATTTACAGAAATTTCTTTATATGCCTTTCCTTTATGTTTGTGCCTACATTTTTGCGGTCAGGTATTAGTTTTCAATCCTTTATTTTTAAAAAGCAAAAAAGCAAGTTGAAAATATTTTGTCTTTTAGGTACTTGAAGGGATTTTTGAAGCAGTAATATTGACAAGGGCAAAGTCAGAAAATGAAGCAAAGAATTACTATCTCTAATGCATAGTGGAGCTCAGAATCAGAAGGGCTCATTCTAAAAATTCCACCTCTAATCTGTGAGAAGTAAAGTCTTGTATTTGTTTACCTTTTATTTGACTTTCAGCTTCACACAAAGCACTAAAAATTGACTTGCCAAAAATATATGGCCTAAATTGGGTGAACATTTTTGGGGAAAGTAACACATTGAAAATGATGTCGTGGGTATATCCCCTTGTGTTATGTGAGAAAAATTTGCACATTTGGAAAGATCCAAGCAGTTTGGCAAACTAAGAGACAAAGAACAAATGATTGACCAGTGAAGTCATAGGCACCTGCCACTACTTTTAGTTTTTACTCTTAAAATAATTTAATGTTAGCAATGCTTTATGTGACAGGTAATTGTTATTACTCAGCTCTTAAAAGCACCATTATCTTGTGGCAGTGCACTGACATTATGTTTGGGAAACCACAGCTCAGAGGCTCAACTTAGAGACACCACCTGAATAAAGAAGGAAAAAATTTCCTTGTCAAGTTTTTTCTCAAATCTCTGAACCTAGGGGTTTGTAAAAAATAAAGATATATTTTCATAGACCTCTCTCTCTCTTTTTTCTTTTTTTTAAATAAATCTATGTCAGGCCCTTTTGTGGCTTAGTTTTATTCTTTAACACTTTCTAAGTTGTCAGAACTAGCTTCCCAGTTTTTCTGTTAATCTTTTAGATAGGATTTTAGTTTCAAAGTTAAGAATAAGGATTCCAGTGGTACCTGGGTGGTTCAGTTAGTTAAGCGTCCAACTTTTTTTTTTTTTTTAAGATTTTGTATTTATTTATTTGAGAGAGTGAGAGGGATCACAGAGGGAAAGAGAGAGAAGCAGACATGCACTGAGCAGAGAGCCCAACACGGGGCTCGATCCCAGGACCCTGAGATCATGACCTGAGCCAAAGGTAGATGCCTAACCAACTGAGCCACCCAGGGGCCCTGAGCATCCAACTCTTCATTCCCATTCAGGTCATGATCTCAGGGTTGTGAGATCCAGCCCCGCGCCGGCTCTGCGCTGTTTGTGGGGCCCACTGCTTAGTATTCTCTCTCCCTTTGCCTCTCCACTCCCACATACCCACCCCCATGCTCGCTTGCTCGCTTGCTCACTCTCTCAAAAGAAAAAAAAATAAAAAGAATAAGGATTCTAGAGCCAGACTTTTTGAATTCCAGTCCTGGCTCCTCTACTTTTAAGAGCTTTCATGGTTTGAGCAAATTATTTAACCTCTCTGTGCCTTAGTTTCCCGGTGTGTAAAATGGAGAGAACAGTATTTACCTCACGAAGATGTTGAAAAGAATAAATGAGTTAATAAATGTAAGCATTTGGCATGTTGTAAATACGTAATAGGAGTAACTATTATTGGGATTACTATTCAGATTAATTTCCTAACTGGAACTGTAATTCTTGCTTTCAGTAGACCCTTATTTGGTAGTTTTTTCCTGTCAGGTCATCTGTGTCAATAGAGTTAAAAGAAAATACAAAGCTCTACCCCAGTATTAGACTCAATCTGGGTAAGGTACTCAAATAATAATTGAGAAATGAAGCTAGTATCATCAAAAACTTAAGAAAAATTTTAAATATGATGATTTTAAGAAATTTTATTTTCTTTTGATTATAAAAGTAATGTACATAGAAAATTTGGAAATTACAATAAAGAATATCATATATAACTGTATCATTCAGCAATAACCACTGTCAGTGTTTTATTTCCTTGCAGTGTTTTTCCATTTTCTTACCTAGTTGAGCTTCAACTTTGTAAATAATTGTATATCTACATTTTAATTTACAGTTGTTGAAAGCTCTCAATAAAAATGAAATTATAAAAGGAGTAGAAGAAAACGTACTTTTTAAAATATTTGAGATGGAAGCACCTTAAAAACGTATATAAAACCTAGGAACCCTAATGGGAAGAACATAGAAATTTACTGTAAACATTGTTAAAAGATAACAACAAAGAGAAAAAATTGTTTACAACACGTGACAAAGGGCTAATTTTCTGACACTACCATAGTGTCTTATAAGCCTATAAGAAAAAGAACCATCCAGTAGAAAAGTGATTTGTGATTATAGATATGAAAATAAAAATATTTATCTTCTGGATTGGCAGATTTTAAAAAGTTGGTAGTATCCAATATTTTGAATGGTTTGGAGAGGTAGGGAGAAGGGTATCAGTACGTATTTTTGGTGGGTGATTTGACAACTTTGAATACCTAAAATGTTAAAACTGATACATTGACACAAACACATGAAGTTATATTTCCAAATATGTTAGTTAAGCATTGTTTGTAAGCAGAAAAGTCTAGTCACCTAAATATTTATCAGTCTAGGTCCTGATATATACTGAAACATCCATTTTATTTATTTTTTAATTTTAATTCCAGTATAGTTAACATACAGTGTTAAATTAGTTTTAAGTGTACAGTGTAGTGATTCACAATTCTGTACATTACTCAGTGCTCATCAGGATAAGTGTGCTCTTAGTCCCCTTCACCTCGTTCACCCATCCCCCCACCCACCTCCCCTCTGGTAACCATCAGTTTGTTCTCTATAGTTAAGAGTCTTGAAACATCTATTTTAAATGAATGAGGTAGATTTATTTATTTTTTTTTAAGATTTTATTTATTTATTTGAGAGAGAGAATGAGAGAGAGCACATGAGAGAAGGGAGGGTCAGAGGGAGAAGCAGACTCCTTGCTGAGCAGGGAGCCCGATGTGAGACTTGATCCCAGGACTCCAGGATCATGACCTGAGCCGAAGGCAGTCGCTTAACCAACTGAGCCACCCAGGCGCCCATGAGGTAGATTTATATGTGCTGATATAGAATAATAGCCAAATAAGTATAAGAAGCAATTTGAAGAATAATAAGCTTATATGGCCCCACTTGTGTGTTTTTTTTTAAATGTTTTATTTATTTATTCATGAGAGTCAGAGAGAGAGAGGCAGAGGCAGAGGGAGAAGCAGGCTTCCCACCGAGCAGGGAACCCGATGTGGGGCTTGATCCCAGGACCCCGGGATCATGACCTGAGCCGAAGGCAGACGCTTAACCATCTGAGCCACCCAGGTGCCCCCCCCCACTTGTGTTAAAACAAAATAAAGGATTATCCGTATAAATGTTTGTTAGATAAGTTTGTATATACCCAGAAATTTTCTAGAAACTACCCATAAAATCTTAACAATAATAAACTTTTGGAGGTGGATATAGAGTATAAGAGAATGAGAAGATTTTAGTTTTTCATTTGTTTTTTTCGAATATTCTTTCACGAGTATGTATTACTTTAAAATAAAAAGCAAACCACCATCAGGAAAAGAAAAAAGTGAAGAGGCATTCTGGTAAATATTCTAAAATAACTATATAATACTTTGTATCTTATGGATATACCACAACTCTTTAATCATTTTCCTCTTGATGGGCGTATTAAATTGTTTCCCGTTTTTCACTATGGTAAATAATGC